GGCAGTTCCATTGAAAAATGCGGGACCGGTAGCTGCCCGTGGGACCGCGTGCTGGGTTTTGGTCGAAACGGTGGCAAAGTAGCGGCAGGGTGGAAAAGTGGAAAAGTCTGAATGGGGTGTTTTTCTCCCCCGAGACATTTCCGTCATCCTTCGTTATACCGGTTGTTGATTTGGGCTCGTTTGGTCGTTCGAAGGTTTGAAAAATGCAGGCAGATGCAAGCACGACACTTTGGGGGGGTGGCCGTTTCTTTGAAAAATGTGGGACCGGTAGCTACCCATGGGACCACACGTTGGGTTTTGGTCGAAACGGTGGCAAAGCAGGGGCAGGGTGGATCTTAAGGGGGGGGTGGCAGTTTCTTTGAAAAATGCGGGATCGGTAGCTGCCCGTGGGACCGCTCGTTGGGTTTTGGTCGAAACGGTAGCAAAGCAGCGGCAGGGTGAAAAAGTGAAAAAGTCTGAATCGGCAAGGGCGTAGCCTTGGCCACAAGTTGAAACGACACACTTGCATTGCATTTGCAAATGCAAACACATGTGTTTGAACGTTGACGTATTCAACGCCCCACATGTTCAGCGTCCGCTTGAGTGAGTCACATGTGACAAAACAAGTTTTATTTAATAAAAAAAAAAACTTACAACAACAAACATTCAAACACACACATATACGACATATGGACCAAGATTCAAGGACCACCAACCTCGACACCAACTATGAATCAAGGTATGTCAAATATCTAATACATTAATACCGTATAAATTACCAAAATCCTACACATTCCAATACTAACAGATGTGATAAACACAAACACCTTAAGTGTCACACAAACACACATACACTAATTTTGACACATACACATAAATACTATTTTTTTTAAGCAACAATCACCCTACTTCTAAACCTCACTGATAATGCCTCTATTAATTAATCATATACAAACTACGAGTTGCGCACCCGTGCCCTCGCGGTAAGTCAATTGCGGTATAGGAAATAGGGTATCAGAAGTGGTAGGGAGCATCGTCGTGGGTAAAAGTTATTGTCTTCAGCATTCGCAGTACGAGCAAGCAGCCGCTCGTATAGCATTTGGTGGCGGCTATTATCACGATGGGCCCACAAAATACCCCGTCTGTTTCAATCGGGGCTGAGCAGGGGAGTAGAGGTTCTTGCCTAGCCCAGGTGTCTGCAACTCCCGTCTGGGCAGTCACCCGGCCAAGATGATGATGGGTGATGGTCCCGGGGGCTAGGGTAGGACAATGCGCTGGGGCAATTGAGGAGAGGAAGGGTGTGTGAGTTCTTTTTAGGGGTCCATCCAGATAACCGACTGTCCGATTACCGAGGGTAACTGTCATATGTCTAGTATCCAACCTTTATTGTCTACCGCGTGGGCGCGGGGAACGCAGCCCTAAGGTAGCCAAATCAATGAGACTAAGAGTTAACACAAAAGAGAGAGAGAGAGAGAGAGAGAGAGAGAGAGAGAGAGAAAGAGAGAAAGAGAGAAAGAGAGAGAGAGAGTTTTGTTCCATTTATTGTTATGAGTGTGAGAGAGAGAAAGAAATAGAGAGAGAGGGAGCGGGGGGCCTACCAGAGGGAGAGAGAGAGGGGGGGCAGGGACTACTCTAAAGAGAGAGAGAGAGTTTTGTTCCGTTTGTTGATACAAGTGAGAGAGAGAGAGAGAGAGAGAGAAAAAAAAAAAGACTGAATGGCAAAATTGAAATATGGGTCAAATTGCGGCCGCGATCTATTTTGCAATTGGAATGATTTTTTAAAATTTATTTAGCGTTTTTCCTGGAAAGTCACAACAAAATCTACGAGTACTCCAATTTTCAGGTTTTTTCACGCATTCTTTTGAGCGTGAAGGCTCACTGAATTTGGAGTACTTTTTTAGTTGGCCCAGGCATGGCTGAGTGGCAA